GCAGAAAGGATTACTCGTCGTGCACTTGCACGAGCATACATACCTGAGCAACCGGATCTCATTGACTCCTTGACCTTCGAGTTTAAGAACCGAAGTTCCCTTGACCTCAGAATAAATAAACTACTCCCTCTCCACTGGGATTGATTAAAATTAAAAAAAAAAACGAACCGTATCATGACATTTTTTTCACTGCAATCTTTTTTCAAACACACGTATTGAAATATTTTCCAAACAATTAAAGTGAGAATGATTTATTCTTATGGTTTTTACGTATGATAGATAGTGCATTATATCGTGTCATAAATTAATAAAAATAGGTGTGAATATTTTTTATTAATTATTAACAATCTAACGAAAAAAAGGCATCATTGGTTTATTATTATATTTTCATATTTTTATTTAAATTTCATACAAATGAAACACGTGGTGTCCAATGATGATTTGATGAAATTAATTGTAGAGAAGATATTTAGGAGATGGTGTGGGAGGAAGGGGGGGACCATTTGTCGTTAGAAAAAAGTATGACTCTATGTTGCTTGCGGACGCATTCGTCAACAGCTGACTTTGCTGCTATTATCTCATGTATTATATGAATGATTCATGAAAAACCTCTGCATCGTATCGCATACGTGGCCTCTTTTTATTACAATTCAGTAGATTTTTTTTCTTTGAATTGTTACACGCGTTGTCGTATTTTTTTTTTCTTTTTACAAAAAGATATATTAATAAATTGATATATATAGAATAAATTTAACCGAAGATAATATTGTTATTACGCTTAAGATAAAATGTATGTATGTGTGTGTGTGTGTGTGTCTGTATTTTTTTTACGTTGTAGAAAAATATTGTTTAGAAGTAAAAGTAGAGTTTCGTGAATTAATGCAATCATACGTATATTTATTGATTATGAAACGGTTCATCCTTTTTAATGATACACTACTACTATTATTGTTATTACTCGTAGTGTTACACATTTTATCGATAATATTTTATTATTGTTTATAAGTGCAATGCAACGTAATTTTATATAAGATAAATGTTAGATATAGAAAACTGACCTAAGACACGTTGTATCGTAATTTTTTTTTTTACATTAGATAATGATATTGAAATTTATTTAAAATGTTTATCTTATTGTTAATTAAAATTTGAGAGAAAAAAAATAGAGTGAGAGAGAGAGATAGATACACACACATCTTATAGTAATTAGTTTTAATCTGTATTTTATATACAATTTGTATGAATCATCAAAGGAAATGACTCGTCCAATTTGACCATCGCATCATCCAGGTGTTACGGTCAGCTGTACTTGTTTGGTGGGCACTTGAACGAATTCTTTCTATATCCATGAACAAGGGATAGGTTTATCGATATAAGCTTATCACTAAGAGATAAGGGAACCTTAATTCCATGAGTGCATTCTCAGTACATATACGTAAGAATTGAAATTCCATAAAGTTTCCTCAGACGGCACGTTATTATTTCAGATAATCATACTTTGATCGTTTCTCGTGGCTTAACTTTCGATAAGATCTTGTTTGTTTGTTTGTTTGTTTGTTTTTTAAATTCCCCTCATAAAATATTTCTTACTTTTATTTCTCCAAATTTTTATCGATCATATTTATCTGATTTATTAATCCATTTCATAAATAATAATTACTTGTATGTAATAAATTAAAAATAAAATTTTGTAGAAATAAAATAATTGGGTGAATATATAAATTAATGAAAATCTTGTTATTTTATTTCAAATTGATTATTATATAAAAATAAGATTGTAGGAAAAATGACGCGTTGAATATTTCAATTTCAATGTAGTTGGGATATTTGATTGTTCCTGGTATATAAGATTGAACAAATAAGTACGTGTGTACTTGATAAAAATACAGGTGTTGTTTTATTTATCAAGATATCTTTTTTCGATTAGAGTTCTGGCAGGTGTGCTGTTAATCGCTTACGAGTACAAGTATACGAGTACGAACAATCAAGGATCACAAGATTGTATTTTTGATTTTTGGCCTTGTTACTATTGTTATACCACGTTTATGATCAAAGGTTACGAATTTGAAATTTAATTAATACAAAAATGTGATTATATATTCGTCTAAACACGTAAGCATTGTATCTGATACGAAAGTTGAACAAAATATTGAAAAATGAAGAAATGATACACACGTTACACACGTGCTGAACTATATTATTATTATTATTATATATATATTGTAAAAATAATAAAAACATAAAATTTGACGTTTGTAAAGACAATTTAGAAAATTAATCGAAAGATAAAATAAACGATAAGAAAATAGCGAGATGCGTAATAAAACCTAAGATAACGTGGTTTATATTATCATTTCGTGATTACTTGAATTGAATTGAATTTAATCGAAAAACGTGGAATTACAATGTTTATCTGTCGGATCAAAAAAATGAACATTATTTTATTGTTACGATCGTTAGAAAGTATAGGTATATCTAATAACGTGTATATCGTGTCTAAAAAAAAAAGAAAAAAACAATTACGCGATTAAAACGATCAATCAGAATGACGGATAGGTTTTTTTATGTCGAGAGTTTATTTATAGCCATTTCAAAAATACGAATTGTTCGATCTTTTATATATAGTATTTTTGATTTTTTTTTGTTTCATTTCAATTTCCATAAAAATAATTAACTTTAATAAATACTTTTTATGGTTACTATAATTGCATTGCATAGAATTAACAAATTACATATTATATAGATCTGTGTTTAATCAGTTTATATTTTGTATTAAATACTTTTTCAAATTTTTGTATATATATATATAAAATAATTGATATTTAAATTCACATTTTATGTTATTATTTATTATTATTTTTCTTTAATACTCGCGTAAACATTTTTCCTCCACCAATGCGTTTAAATAATTGCACTTCATTTAATAATCACAACAAGGGGGGGGGGGTTTATTATTCCTGTAGAAAAGTATATGTATGGATCGTTTATTTTGAAATTGGGGGTCTAAGTCCATTTTCTGTTGTTTTGAGAAAATTATAAGTTTGTATATTAGTTAATTTCAAAATATTCATTAATTATATTAAGTTTGACAATGTTTCTATTAATTGATCGATATGTAATTTGATTTTATATATTACTTATAGTCTAATTTAATGAAAATAATGTATATTTACAGACTTAAAATTAGACTTACAACACTTTCAACCATAATCAATGGTTACACAATTTCTTTTACTCGGCTTAATTTTAAATTGAATAAAAAGCATTGACATTTTTCAAGAAATTAAATACTAAATAAAAAGTTTACATT